TTGGAGAGGTAAATTTTGTTTTTAACTGGCCCCCCCCCCCCCCCCCCCCCCCCCGCTTTCCCACGACTTGCAAAGACGGAGATATCGGAGCTGGAAGCGCTGAGAAGGGACCTGCGCCAGAAGGAGTGGGAGAGCGACGGCGCTTCGGCGGGGCCTAAGGAGAAGAAGTCGCGCCTCCCGCCGGGCCCCTTTGCCGCAGCCAACGCGGCGGGCGGCGGCCACGACACGCGACAGCACCAGCTGGAGGAAGATGATGGAGCCGAATACACCCGGGACGGCCTCCGGCTAGCGTCCCCCAAGCGCCAGGTGCAGCAGCAGCAGCAGCAGCCGCCGCCGCCCAAGCCCGCACCCCCCGCTTCTTCGCGGCCATCCGCGGGAACCCCGGGAGCGGCGGCGGCGGTGCCCTCACCCTCGCTGGGGGATGCCGATCTGTTTTCCGACGGCGACGGGGGTGGGGTTTCGGCCATGGAGGCTTTGATAAAGTCCTCCATGGACGGCCAGGACTGGGAGAAGGAGGAGGGTGACGGCGGGTTCAACTGGGAGGAAGGGTTCGAGGACGCGGGGGGGTCTAGCGAAGGGCGGGAGGAAGCTAGGCCGATGGTGGAGGCTCCGGCGGGGGGTTACCCGAAGAGGCTGGCCGGGCTGATGAGCTTCTGCCGCGTGTCGGACAAGGCGACCTGCGAGATCCTGGTGGAGATGGGGAGGGTGACGGTGAACGGGGTCGTGGCGAGGGACCCCGGGATTAAGGTGGACCTGCTGACGGACATCGTTGTCGCGAACGGTGAGTGAGGTAGTTAGGTGGGGCGAGAGGGAGGGCGGGGCAAAGAGGCAGAGAGAGACAAATGGTTTGTGTGATGGGATAGTTTTCTGGCGGGCTGAGTTGCCTTGGTTTGGGTGGGGTCTTGATGTAAGGATACGGTGTTTATTGTAGTTGCGTTGGTTTTGGTACGTTTGCTTTGCGACATGAGCACCAAGCAGGCAGCGTGTGATATTTTTGAGGGGGGTTGAGGCCTGACTCATTTATGCTGCTGCATCCGGCGGTGGGAGGTAGAGAGGGTTCGAGGGATATTGCCGGTGCGTTGGTCAATGTGTGTGTTGGTTGCACTCATGTTGGGCTTGTATGGCCGTTGAGCCGGCCTCGGCTGTCTCTTTTGCTGTTAATGAAATGAGGGAATCGTCCTCGAAACCCTCTTGGGAGGCTCTTTTCAAAGGCCATCTCCACACGTTGTCGTCGTCGTCGTTAACGTTGCTGCAAATATGTTGGGTGTTTCGCCGCTGCTGCCTGTAGAAGCCGAAATCAAACCATTAGACTGCTCAGCGCTGGCTTGTCTGACGGTTTGCTTTCGGCATCTAAACACACGCTCTTCCTTCGTGCGCTTTCGCGGTGCACGGGCCGGCGTGCCGTGTAGTGCCCCGGCTGTGTTCACTCTACCGGTGGACGATGCAACGCCAATAAGCCTCTCTTTGGAAGCCCGAACGACCTCTTCTGCGTGACGCAAGCCAGCACAACCCTCGCCCCCCCCCCCCTTCCCGCCTGTGATTCGTTTATTGCTGTGCTTGCAGGCGTGGCGGTGACGTTTCCCGGAACGATTGACAACTCGGACGAGACTAGAAGGCCTCGGGAAGACGCGGGGAAGGTAGAGACGGTAGATGCGGTAGACCAAACAGTTTTGCGCCGGCGTTTTAAGAAATGCCAATTTGGTGTAGAGGCTCAATTTTTTTTTTTCGTTTCCACCGTCGAGCGTACGTAGTTTAATACTAATAGAGTTTAGTGTAGGATACACGGCTGAGGTGCGTTTCCTTAGCCGTTTTTTTCTTATTTTTCGCCACAATCCGAGCCTTTGTTTCCGAAAGTTTTTTTCTTGGTCGCGGGCGCAAACTGTTTTGTTTGTCAGGGGGTGGCGCTAGGAGTGATGGCGCCAATGCCTTGACTGAGTATGCCTCCCTCTTGCGCCTGGCAACACGACAGTGGTATACCGTATATGACACAAGATAGCACACCCCCTGGACCGATTTTCAAAGCTCGATTACTCCACGACGAAGAGGATGCATAAACGAAATGATACATTTTCGGAAAGCTCTCGATGAGACGGTTCCAACGCCACCGTTTTCGGCGCTGTGGCTCTTCCTGCTGTTGAGAAATCGAGCTTTGAAAATCGGTCAAGGGTGTGTGTTATCTTGTATCATACACGGTAACGTCTTTGGTTGCCACTTGGTCGCTTGGTTGGGTATGGTCGCTTGGGTGGTGGTCCACGGCACTATACGCAGCTTGTGTAGAACGGAGACCCCGATTTTGAGAATGAGAGAGGAGGTGTTGGTTTCGACCATTCTGTTGAGGTTTTTCGTTCACGCAGAGTCTTGGCGTGCCAGAGAGAGAGAAAGAGAGAGAGAGAGAGAGAGCAGCGTAGAAGAATAGAGTTTTTTGTTGTTTTTTTCCTTCACAACAAATTGTCGAATGAAATCAACACCCCCCCCACACACACCCGTACGCCCCCCCCACCCCCCCCCAATGGTCTAACGACTACGGCATGCACGACCATGAGTACACCCCCCCCCCCCCCGGAAAAAACCGC